CCAAAGGAAAGTGAAAGGTGCTGCAGCCTTTTGTTAAAATGTTTAAAGGGTTCTAAAGAAAGCTTTAGGCTTAATTTAGAAGACTGCAAGCAGCAGGAGGTCGTCCTGCTCTGTCAACTCTGGAGGCAGCAAGAGGCTGTAATATTCGGGTAACACCGTGGCGACGGCAGGTGGTTTTCATGTCTAATAAACACAGAAACAACAAGAGGTCCTAATTCTTAGAATCCGCGTAGACGTCAGTAATCCTAACAACACAGTGGATCTGCTGTTTGTGTGATTCTGAGAGGAAAGTGTGTTCAGTAACACTTTAAAATAAGGGTTTCTGTATTAACATTACTTAGTGCATTACTCAGCATTAATAAACTATTAAAGTATTAACAGCTGCTTAATGTTAGTAATGTATTACTAAACAGACCCCCATGCTCTTTGTCCTAACCTTAAGGACACCTAATGGTTAATATCAGGAACGTTAATAAAGGCACCCTATTGTAAAGTGTTGCCGTGTGTGTGAATGTTGGAAATGACTTGGGTAATGTTTTTGCCTTTAGATAGAGGCTACAGTGTCTTAGGGATGAGAATATACTTGCTGCTAATTACGCATGTTTCTCACGGCTGCTTCGATTAGCTTGCGTTTGCTTGAAGTGTTGTTTGTGTGCGTCCTCTGAAAGTAACGCAATGCATTAGCAAGCTGCAGCTTGGTGCAATCTAAAGGTTTTACATGGTGGCTACAGCACACGTAAATTATAGCAGCTTGATCTGGCATTTGGAATTCTGGTTTGAGCAAAGATCTGATGCATACCAAGGCAGGATGTGCAAACATATTTATCTCTAAGAAATGGCATAATACTTGCACCTGATACGATAAAGGCTCTTATCTTTTAGTGGAGTTATATTTGTCATGCTTTGTAGGTTGTTTGGAAGGGGAGTCATTTCTCATTTGTGTGAATTGACTTTTTTTATTTGCTTTTGTCCTTGTCATCACTTCAGCTTGGATCAAAGACATTTGCATTGCTTTGCACTGATATTCCATTAAATCATCACACCTCAAATGAGAGGAGAGCAAGTTCCTGTGATCCATGGTGGAGAAAATGTTTCAGTGAAAGCTTGGTACAGTTTAGAACTCCCATCCAAGATTAGCTTCTAATTTATAATCAGAAGGAAGAGTGCTACACCGTGCATCCAGTAAACCTGACTTAGGTTTTAATAAGCTCATGTACTGAGATGTGGGGAACTTTGCTGCCTGCACTGACTTAAGAGTTTTGCCTTAATATAATGCAAAGCTAAAAGGTCCTTTTAAGTCTCTCAGGTGGTTTCAGAATGAATTAGACTCAGAGTTCATGAAGTACAATCGAGTTCGTAGGCTAATGTTAGATACACTCTAAAGAAACTACGGGCCTCTGACTGGCTTTGTCTGCTTTTCCCTCCCATGGGTCATTTCCACTTCTATCCAGATGAGATCATGAACAAAACTGTGGACATTGTGTGGTTTCAGATTTTTTTTTCGTAAGGTCTAATCACTGATAAAATTAAAGGTTCCAAATGATGTTATTTTAAACGTCTGAGAGCAATAGGCACAGTATATGATAAAATATTACCACTAGCATTATTAAGATGTCATTTATCTTCAATACAAGTTATTTTGTCAGCTTGAATTTATGCCCGAAAATAAAGTGTTTCAATGAAACTCCTCCCACACCTGCTCCGACAAAACATGCCTACAGCAGCGTCTTAGGCAAGTTTTCTCTTGTATTGGTTGTGGTAGTCCGATGGTAAAGGTGTCGGCCTGAGCACTCTAACCACTGGTCCAAGATGTCCAAATATCAGGAAATAAGACTCCAAAATCTGTAAGCTCAGCTGTGATGTAGCTCACTTCTAGTTCCTGGAAATGGTGCAGTGGTGTTTTTTGTCGTCCGCCCCCCCCCCCCCCCCCCCCCCCCGAAACGACTGACAAGGCATTCATTCCAGCTAAAGATCACTGCAAATGTACTGATTAAACAAGTGCTCTACACCTTTAGGAAAATATTTGATAGTTCTTTAATACGGTTTGATTGACATTTCAAAAGGAAAATGAGCAGATATCTTTGCTCTCGTCCTGTCTATAACAATGGTTTTTAACTTTCTTGTCCAAATGGGTCACAAACGAATGCATCTGGGTGTATTTATTATTCAGCCAGCAGTTTCTAGTGTTTTAGAAGCATTTTGTATTGGAGGTTGAATGTCAAGAGTTGTTTTTAATGAACTTTAAGCCTGTCCTCTGCTGTGAAGCAGCATGATACAACATCTGTCACAACACACACACACACACACACACACACACACACACACACACACACACACACACACACACACACACACACACACACACACACACACACACACACACACGCACGCACACACACACAGAGTGGCTGAGAGCAATGCAACAGGGTTTTTTCTGTTCCTGTTAATGAATTCCAGCCTTCTCTTTCTATATTCCTACCTTTCAAAATCCCATCTTCTCTTCTACCTGACTTACAAATTGCTCTCACCTTCTGCAGCCTTTTTTTTTTTTGTACTGACTCCATCAGTTTGAACTCCCTCTTTCCACTTCATTATTTCCAGTTTTAACCTTATTTATGTTTGTGTAAAGTCTCACTAAGCATCACCCTTACCTCCGGACAATAAAAAAATATATACCGTGAAAATCCTTTATTGAAAAAAAAATTAACTTAGCAACTTGCCGTTTGAATTCAAATGAAGATTTGTAACTAGGGCAGAGATTTGTGAACCCGACCGTCACTAGTTTATTTGCACAAACGTAGCAAATTGTTTTTCCACAAAAGTAGGTAAAGCCTGGTAAAGCCACGGCAGGATAATCCTGACTTTTTTTTCACCAGCCCTTCTCCTTCTGACAATCCTAATGTTGAGTATGATTACCCTAATCATTCTTAAAGGAGCATGGGGCAGGATGAAGAAACGAAACTCATTAGCGACGCACTCGGCGCTGTGAGTAACTGCAGCCCGGCACGAGAGCGCGCACAAACTCTTCACTAGAAAAAAAAAAGTTACAGTGATGTACGGCCAGAGCGCGGCTCGAACAAGGCACCATGTCGAGCGATGAAGTAAGTAACATTGTTACTTTAGTCTAATATTTGTATAATTCCATGACAACATTAGCATTTTAATTTAGCCATGACACTCGTGATGTAAAGCAAGTGCTCCTTCCTATGAAATATTCATAAGCCAGTTTTGTGACAGGCGAGCAAGACAGTAACATGATGCTACTTTATCAGCATAAGGCTTTGTGGCTGCAGGTGATTTCTGATGTTTTTAGACAAATTAGTTATTATTTTGCACTAAGCTTACTAACAAGCTAATGTTATTGTTTATACATCATGTAAGAACATCCAATTTCAAGTCACTGACATCATTTGTGAAACCAATTTCATTACAGGACAGGCATCACAACAATGTAAATAAGAACATAAATATCAATGTTTAGTTAAAAAATGCATCAAAATAAAATCATAATATCAACAAGACCTACAGGGTAATAGTCATTTTTCCATTACTGTCATTGATTTTCAGGAATTCACATTGGAAGCAGTGATGGAAGACAGTTCAGATGGAGTGTGCCCGAGCCTGCCACAGACTTTGATGTGTCGTGGGAAAGTTTGAGACCAGGGGCTAAAGGAAAGGGGAGAGGAAAAGGTCGCTCCGAGGGTCGGGGAAGGACACGCTCAAGGGGTGAGGGCAGCAGGTTGAGGTCCAGAGCTCCTTCAAGAGGACCAGGGCGCCGGGGTAGGCAGCGAACAGCTTTCAAAGAAGAGGACCGAGACCGGCTTGCACAGCTGAGAGCTGCCAGTATAGCTGAGATGCAGGTTGGTTGTAGCCATTTGTGTAAAAAAATAAAATAAAATAATAGAGATGCCAAAAACGAAAACATCACTCACTGGAGATATGAATCTAGTCATGTAAACATATGCTCTTTAATTTCTAGACAGCTTTACAACACCTGAGCCAGGAGGAGAGAGATTATATTCTTGAGAGAGTGGTGACCCGTCTTCCAGGGGTGATGCTGGATATCCTGGAGTTTCAGCAAGAGACGCCAGGACACCGTCTTCCTGACGGAGGGCACCCTAACCTAAAAATCCAAACCGTTTATCTACAACTACAGTAGTTCCAACACAGCACAATACCTCAAAATAACTTTAGCTGAAGACAGCATTTTCACCCAAAAATAAACAGTTTGTGCAATATATTTATTTTTATTTATGTATAAAAAAGTTCTGTTATTTGCATTTGTACATAGTATTTTTTCTTAATTTCTAATAAATCTGTGTGCATGAAAGAAGTCATTCCTGTCTTTTGATGCTTCACGTAGCTGGGGCCTTTATAGAGAGAGAGAGAACAGCAGCATTAGATCATACATAGATTACATGAGAATGCAGTTCTGGAAACTCTCCAGTTCTGAAGTTGACCTGTGAAAAAAACAAAAGCTACAACTTTATAGATTATTAGGAATCACACTTTTGATTGCCTTTTCACCCACAATTGTCATTTCTATATGTAAATTGTCAGCTTTGATATTGACACTTTAGCTTTTTTGCTTATGAAAATGTTATTAATATACCTAAAAGTCAGATTGGTGACATCCTTCAACCAGCGTCTGTTGAACATGATTCGTTTAAGAGCCTCGTGTGGTGGAGATCATGGTACCATGAGCTCTTTATCACTGGTCGTTGCATCAAGTGGTCCATGGTCACATTTGCCACGGGTCCATTCATGCTTCCCTGTGACAAGGTGAAGCACACCCACCCACATGTCCTAACAGAAAAAATAAGTTTTATTTGAAAACTTTGCATGTGACAGAAGCGCTCACCAACAGAAACACGAGAGCTGGCACTATTATGAAAAGAAAGGTAATTATGTCAATGTGCATTGTTGTCTTGTTGTCCAAAAGATGTCACAATACTTACATTAAACATATCACGATGTTGTGCTTTCTGGCAAATGTACCAAAATTGGCTGAAGATGTCCTTCAGCCACACAAGTAGGATGGAAATTCCCTTTAGGATCCCAGCCTGTGAACAAGGATAAAACAACAATTCCATCTTTTAGTTCTTTTTAAAACATAGAAGGGTTTTATTTACCTGCAACGTTTTGTTTGCGGCTGCAAACTTCGTCAGCCTGACAAAGTTTTCATAACAGTTCTATTCTGTTATGAAAACAATAAATAAAAGTAGAATTAATATATTGTTTTAAGACTTTGGAGTTTAAAAAAGAGTGTAGATAAGAATAGGGCTGGGCAATATGGCCTCAATCTATATTGCGATATAATCTGAAGCATGTGCAGTAACGATATATATTGCGATATATTTTTTCATCTGTTTATAGATGTCAAATTGACATGCTTTTAGATATCCTCATGTGGCAAATATATACCACTTGAGGCATATAGACCTCCTCCTCCGCCCACTCCATGCTTGCAGTCACCGCCATTCTGTTGTCCCATTGTCAGCAGGGTGCACATCTTAGTGACGTCATGTGTTATCACAATATTGCCATATTGCGATATAGCCAAAAACTATCATTACCCAATTATATATCATTTCTACCTTATATCGTTTATATTGCCCACCCCTAGATAAGAAGACATTGCAACTCACACACTGTTGAGTAAGTTGTTTGCTTGGTCCTCATCAATTTGGACTGCATCCGTAGCTAGATCCATGGATTTGAAACTACAGACAACACAATAATATTTGTTTTACGTAAAGATAAATACTGGAACTTACCTGAAATGGTACTGATTCTAAAGAGATAAATGTGGAGCCCAATACATCTGTCATTAATTCTTTCTGCAAATAACAACAATCTGCTGTGAATTGACACTTCACAACATAAATAAATATATATAATGACCTATATTTGCTTATCTATTGTGTTTTTATCTTTTTTGCACAGCAGTAATTTCCTGCGTATATGGCAAGACTTCTCATGAACAAATTTACCTTTCTTCAAAAGGATCCAAATCTAGGTCATCAGCTAAGGCCTCAACACCAGCCATTAGAAAATCTTCCCTGTAAAGATAATGTCAGAAGTGTTTTGTGGTGTGATGTTAGTTCTGAACCAAGTGTGGATATGCAAGGTGTAATTTAATGTATGAAATATCATAGCACAAAAACGTGAATATTTGTTTTACAGAAAAGATACTAACCCCTCAGACATAGGTTCAGTTGGAGATAATCGATGCCACATTTTAGCTGCTGTTCTCCCTGAATTGCAGTTTCAGGAGCCTGCTTCTTCCGGTAGCTGGAAAACACATTTTTAAACAAAAATGTCAACAAGTTGGTTGAGACTCTACACCTTCTGTTTACATAGATCAATAACGGCTAAGCATCTTTACCTGTGGCACAACTAGTAATATGAAAATGCAGGTCAGTTATAAAAAAAATTATTTATCATTTTCACAAACATATTTTATTCTGACCTACATTCAACTGGACAAATTTTGAAAAATAAACACAAACTTCTGCACAACTTTACTTTTAGTCAAACGTGTTGTTATGGCTGACTTATTATTTATTCTTATGAATCCTAATTTTATTTATTCTCAGCAATAGCGCTAGGGAAATATATTCCGATGGGGTTCTGTTACACAAACCCCACGAATAACATCTACTAAAGTAACAGTCCTGCTTAGAGGTTGGACTGTAGATCAAATATGACATAATTCTAAAGACTCATCTTTGGTTTGGAAAATGTCCGTTCTCTTCTACAAACTGAAGCGTGATCGCAGCTAACATGCTAACGCACGCTAGCTCTCTCCGGCTGAGCGGTGACGTCATATAATCAAATCAAGCTCTGTTTACTTTTCTCGTCAGAATAAATGGAACATCCATTTATCTCCAAACACATGCGGCGTGTCGTCCACAAAACATAGAAGTGATCCGGTTTCTCCTTGGTTGCTTTTAGCTTTTTCAAACTGATCAGGAAGCCATATGCTAAACACCGTTAGCTTAGATAAGTTTCTTGTTCATCTGCACAAAGATTTGTTAGATTACCTAAATCAGCATTATCTAAATCCATAAGTTTTATTTTATTTTCTCAAATTGTGCAGATACAGCTCTGATATGTTTACCTACTCGTTACTGAAACCTACAGCAGAAATAAGGAGACCAACACTTACCTGGTCACTAGAAAATGCGCCATGTCCGCATCCTTTTTCAGGCCCAAATCCAGTTGAAGCAGCCTCCATTCTTCCAGAGCGTAACCAATAGATATTTGGGTCCCTGACCGACTTTTATCATATTTTCTTTTTGACTCTCGAGATGCCGCTGATAAAACCTTCTTCTTTGTGCCACTCTTTAGTGGGCTTTGAGTTGCGCTTGGTCGTTTGCTAGTTGTAGAATCCATTTCCAGGGTTCTTCCTCTTCTGTTTGGGGTTTTAACGTGGCTAGTAGTGAAAGACGCGTTACCGCCACCTAGCAAGCTTCCAAATGTTTTTCCGGGTTTGAACCTTGTCGAGAACGTGCTTGAAGCGTCAATTAACGTCATATCCGTAAAACAGCGCGGGAAATTCGGATCAGGAATGTTTTGCATTTTGCAGCACACAGCCTGATTAACAAAATGGAATGATAAACTGGTTTCATCATTCTTTTTAGTTTAAAATGCTTCATCACCCATAAGCTTCTCAAGAATGAACATGTACTTTTTGTTTTTGGACAATTCCTGCCCCATGCTCCTTTAAGATAATCTTATCAGATTGTCTTACTATGTGTTGTGTCTTAAGATTGCTTTAGTCCGCTCTGAAGGAAATCGAGACCACTCCGGGCTTTGAAACATGTAAAATTTTCTTGGTCTGATCGTCTGATTGATGGGACATGTAAGCCAATCAGAAAACGAGCTGATGGGTGCGTGCTGCAAGGTGCTCCTCCTCCACATTTGCTTATCGTAAATTTATTTTGCAAGATTTCCCGTCTGAACAGGCAATGTCTGAGTAAAAGCATTTTGTGTGTACAGTATTGTTTTTGCTGAGAGTTAAGGTGATTCAACCAGTGACACAGGAGTGTTGAAGCAGGGAAACGACTAAAACATGCAGGGTACTGGCCCTCAAGGTGCCAGGGTTCCCCATCCCTGATATAGGCACTGAAAGGCAGAAGTTAGACTATAATACGGTTGGCTGTCACTCTGTTTATTTGTAGAAACAGCAAAATATTTCATGAATGACTGGAAATACCTTAATGAAACTATCAAAGTCTACATTTGACGTAAATCAGCAATTTATTAGTCCAAATCAAGATGGTCACCACTGCTAATTACCTTTGGCAAACATAAAGATGGCTTCACCTGTCCATGTACCTTTGATAGATGTTTAGTGTAGTAGAAAGACACCCCATTCACATACTCGTTAAAATGTTAAACACTATGCATTGAGCAATGTCTTTCCTTAACCATTGCCATTAACTATTGGAGCCAACCCTGTCCCTTTTTTAGTAAAACATCTCATGAACTAGATGGATTTTACTGAAACGCTCAGAGCATCTTCATTAGGAGGACTTCTGTGAATTGATCCACTTATGCCATTATCTTGAATCAAGATAGCTACGAATACGCAGACTAAATCACTATACCTCAGCAGACATTATAAAGCGCTACCTTCATTTTAGGTAAATATGTTTGGCAGCTAACTGCATGTTCACTACTGTAGCTACATTTGTAATGACTAAATAAAAAAATCTAACTTCATTTGCACTTGTTGGACTCCACAGTCACATTTACCTGCTAATTTTTTGTTTTATTTTAGGAAACCAATCAGTTGAGGATTGTTCCCATTAGACCTGAAGCCCAGCTTTGTGAGTTGGATCAGTGACAAGAGTCAGAATCTAACTTGACTATGAGACAGACTCTCTCAAAGAGCAAGTGGCCTTCCTGTCTGTTATTCCCACATGTCATTCCCACTGACAATACCAGCAGTATTCTAGTTAAAATGGGGTCAGAGATCCATCTCCCAGCGGATACTGGCCTGCTTCCGTTCCCCACTTCCACCGTCCTGGTTCAACCACATATTAATAGCATCTACCTACACTGATGTCTGATCGTGTGTGTGTGTGTGTGTGTGTGTGTGTGTGTGTGTGTGTGTGTGTGTGTGTGTGTGTGTGTGTGTGTGTGTGTGTGTTGCACACCATTTAGTTCATTATTGGTTTCTAACTAGATTAACTGCAGAAGTTCCGTGGTTGAGCAAGCAGCTTTGAAATGTATATAATATTATTACTTACATCATTATTCTTACTGTATATACAAAATACATAATATAAAATAACTATTATTGTACTTAAAATGTGTAGTTCTGTGTGTTTTACTAGCCGTTGCACCATTCACAACCCTAAAAATCACTCTAGACATTTGAAAAAGTGTTTTGATATCATGCATTTATTGTTTGCATCATGACCGAATAAACAAGCAGCCTGGTCCTTGACTTAAACTCAGTGATGTAGCTTTAAATCAACTTTTCCACAGCTGCTGGAAGAAACTCCTCAAGGAAAATATCATTTTGTCTGCATTTTACATCAAATGCATGTGTGAGAAAATTTCAAAAGCCTTTGGTGTGTTTGGGTGCATGTCTGATGCAATACCCGCGCCATCAGTAAGGGACCAAAAATCACAGTTGTTCACACACACACACACACAGAGAAGTGCAACTATAAGGCAGCTAATGGCAGATCTTAATCAACTAATGTGATGGTACTCAGCAGAAAGCCGCTGTTTGAGAGCGTGTGTTCGTGTACACACATTTGTCATGCCTTTCATTTCAGCAGAATTAGAAGAGCTGTGGAGAAAACACAGCAATATCTGACCTACTTATCAATTTCGAGTGTAAACAGACACAGGCACTCATGTATTCCTGGTTAATTGTCTCTAAAGAAATGCAGATGAATTTGATGGAGAAGGTGAAAAATGGAACTTCACATAAGTTAATTCAAAACCCATTTTATTTACGTCGACATGCAGATGTTCTAAACGTTAAGAATTTTAGATTCTTGTCTTAATCCGCCTTCAAATTTTGTCCCATCTGATTACGTGGTTGAGTCACTGACTGTTCTCTTTTATATACACATGGTTTCTTCTTATTTGGTCTAGATGGAGCAACATCTCAAAGTAACAGTGTGTTGTTTCCTGCTCCTCCGCCCTACTGATCAAAAGTGGAATTACAGCTTTTGTAAACGACCCTGCTACAGCCAGCTGTAGCTAGTGCTAACAATGAGCTAACATTAACATGAGCCAACTAATACTAATATAAACCACAAAGAAAAAGATCCATATTGTTGGACAAAAGATATTATTACTTACAAGTCCAGTAGGAACAAAGCCAGATCACCATCAGTCCATTATTTTGTAGCCTCCTTTAGCTCCCTAAAACAAATGTAGGCTGTGCTGATTTTCACTCTGGTTTTAGCTCGTTGCTTCACCTCAAAATACATTACTCTTACTTTTACTTCCAGGCTTTGCCATGATGTAAACAGAAAAGCAAACTACTTCTTTTTCTTCTTCTTGTGCTTTTTGACTATCGGCAAACTGAAAAAGATAACTGCTAGCATAATGGCTACAGCCGTAAAGCAGGTAAAGAGCACCCCCTATAGAGCACATTTTTTAACTCAAAGATCACTTAGATCAATGTTAAAGTTCTAGCTTAAAGTAAAAAAAACTATTTGTTGTTGCTTCAAAGCACAAATCAGGAGTTATTTTCTCAGATGGCACAATCTAGAGGCATAAAAAATGTATTACACCTTTTAACCCCTCTCCCTATTTCTGTGGTTGTGGCTTGAAGCAGTGCCTCTGATTCGTAAAACAGCACCTCTAGCTGGGCAACAGATCTTAAATACATTCTTAATCCGGTTGCTGTTAGGGGTGTTTCAGCACTCTCAAAATGGCCTAGAAACATCTATAGAGGCACAGAAGGCAGAAAAGACAGCGAGCTGGCAGAAAACCTCTGTTTATTTGTTAAAAAAAAAGTGTGTGTATATATATATATATATATATATATATATATATATATATATATATATATATATACTCATTAAGGATATATTTAATTGAAAAACACAA